GCTGGTGGCATCTGAACATCTCCATGTAAGGAGGAGCTGCTGAGCCCTTTCCCATGAGGAGCAGGAGATGGGCAGTGTGAGGGGCACTTTTTAATTGACATTCTTCAGCATTTGACCTTTTTGGTAACAATGAGCATATATTTCTTTTGTAATTAAGTAAACCCAATTAAAGGTGGATTAAAAGTAATAAAACTAAATGTTTGGAGCTAACCTTTTAGGAAAACACACCAGAATCCTTGACAAGGCCTACAGAACCCTTCATGATGGGCTCCGATGCCCTCCCCACCTCATTCCATACCCTCTCCCTTTCATTCTCTGCACTCTGGTCTCACTGTCCTTCTCTTAGGGCCTCAGGCGTGCCACCCTCCCTCCCACCAGTGGCTTTTGCAACACGCTAGTTTCTCTGCCTAAATTTCCTGAATTGCTTCACCCTCCCCTGACCATTTCTGCCTTCAGGTTTCAGCTCAAATACTACTTTCACAGAAGGGAACCTTCTGTGGCAGCTTATAGTTTCCAAAGATGGTCTTAGCAATATCTCCTATCCTATCACCTCTTCTGCAATGTGACCTTGCAGATGGCAGATGTCTCTGCCATCAAGAGGAGGAGTTGATTTCTCCATCCCCTTGAACCTGGGCAGACTTGGTGACTTGCTTGAACAATAGAAGGCAGCAGAAGTGACATTCTGGGACTTCCGAGGATAAGCTGAAGAAGACTTGCAGCTTCCATGTGGGTCTTCTGGAACATGCACTCTTGGGACGATCCCTCTTGGAACCCAGTGAGCTGCTATAAGAAGTCCAAGCCACATGGAGAGACCATGTGCAGACCCCTGGTTAACAGCCCAACTGATCCCCCTGCCAACAGCCATGTGAGTGAGCCATCTCACATGCCCAGCCCAGCCAGATGACTGCAGCCTCAGCTGACATCTGCCGGCAACTGCACAACAGACCCAAGCAAGAACCACTGAAGTGAGCCCAGCCAACCCACAGAACCATGAGAGATAACAAATTATTGTTCTAAGTTCTGGGGGTTGTGTTTTGGGGCAGTAGACCGACCATTTTCCCAGGCGGGTGAGGGCCCCATTTCACTCTCATGGCCCCACCTTTCTGGAAGAACTAATGGTAATAATACAATAAGTCCCCTGCAAGCCAGGCACCGGTCCTAGTGCCTTACAAACACCATCTTATTCAGTCCTCACAAGAATCCTGTGAGGGAAAGAAGCATGTTTTTTTTTTCCGTTCTCTCTTTTTTTTTTTTGAGGAAGATTGGCCCTGCATTAACATCTGTTGCCAATCTTCCTCTTTTTCTTTTTTCTCCCCAAAGCCCCAGTACGTAGTTGTATATCATAGTTGTAGAGTTGTAGCTCTTCTACGTGAGAAGCAGCCTCAGCATGGCTTGACAAGTGGTGCGTAGGCCCGCGCCCAGGATCCCAACCGGCGAACCCCGGGCCGCCGAAGTGGAGCCCGCGAACTTAACCGCTACGCCACTGGGCCGGCCCCTGAAAGAAGCATTTTTCTAATACTTAGAGGCAAGGAAGGTTAAGAACACTTCTCCTCAACACTCAGCCAGGATGTGAACCCGGGTAGCACTTCCCACGGTTTGTGACTGTACCTGTATCTCTGTAATTATGTGGATTAACGTCTCCCCCTTTAAAGCTAAAGTGTGAGCTCCATGGAGGGTGGGACCACGTCTGTTTTTGTTCGTGGTACACCCCTGGAGCCTAAAATGTGCTCAATAAAATCAGAGCGAGTAAACCTCAGCGGCTTCTGGGAGCTCACGCTCAGCGTGAGAGAAGAATAAAATGCCAACTACCTCATTATTCTTTAGGCCTGGTAGTTCAGAGGTGAAATATGTATTTGGAATTCATAAGAGTATAGAGACATAGTGCTTGGGAATATAGCAGACAGATCTGGGCTCAAATCCTGACTTGAGCACTCTGCGACCTTGGCTCAAGTCATCATTTCTTCACCTGTAATATTAAATAAATACCTTGCCGGTTGTTGAGAGGATGAAATGACATATGCAAAGCACCCTGAACACAGTCCTCGGCACGCAGCCCCGATAAAGAGTTCCACTGTCTAGTGTAACAAACAGAAAATTCTTCCAATTCATGGCAAATGTTAGGTCTGCACCTATCAAACATTAGCTCAGACATGAGCACCCAATGAAAATGGTAGATAGTATGTCCAGCCTGGGCATGCTCACTCGCTGGGTGAAGTGGAGCTCTGCTGCGACTGCACTAAAATTTGCATTTATGATATTTTTAACCCTTGATTAAAGATTCAACAAACTCAAAGGATTCAATATACTACATGAGCTCACATGGGGAAGACTGCAAGCTGGAGGGCTTGCCCCATCCAGTGCTCGACAGCCCCAGCTCCATGAGGTGGAGAGCATCCTCCTAGGATGCAGGACACCCAGCCTGAGAGGGACCCCTGGCCCTGGCTCCAGGGTGACACCTGCCCAAGATGGGGGAGGTGAGCATTTGGGGTTTAGAGGCCTTCTTTCCCACTACTCGGAAGCTGTAGCTGCTAAAAGCAGAAAACAGACCAACACCTGCAACAGCTTCAGTAGCTGAGAGGGTCGATTTAACAAGTAGATGTGAAGAGGATGCAGAACATCTTTTAGTGTGTCCGAGATGCCCCGGGGTTTACTGTGGACAGGACATCAACACGCGTGCTGGAAAGCTGACACTGGGCTCGATTTACAAGTGCGACTTTTCATTTCCCACCGATCTGACCAGCTCTTTGCCACAGTCTCTGTGCACTTTTGTCCAACTCTTCATTGTCCTCTGCAGAGCTTTGCCAGCTGTTTTCATACTCTTCTGATCAGACATGTCCCCTAATTAGAAGTGATGCACCCTCTGTGTGCACAGTGAGACTAATGTACACATTAATCAAATTAGCAGGGCATTATGTGTCTGTACAATAAGTAACTTAAATGGGCCCTCCCCCCATTTAAGGAATGTAGATGATGGCAGGAAGCCAGCATGGTATCCCAACGTCACCACACCTTATGAACCCAAGAACAACTATCTCACTTCCCTGTGGTCAGCAGGAGTTATAATAAGGCCTCCACAGATTCGGTCCAGAATGGGCCAGTTAGTCCTTTGCAAGAGAACAATGTTTACAAAGGTCGTAAATCATAACCTTGGCCCTAGCCTGTTTGATAAATGTTTTCCGTTTCCTTTTAAATGCGGAAAAGAGAAGAGAGTAGCTCACTTAGCCATGAAGGCGTGCTCTGCTGATTTGGGTCATCATCTTAAAGGAAGGAAGGGGCACTCACTGAAGGCTGATCTTTTAGCAAGGAAAGGTGGAGCAAACTCTGGCCTGGGGCAGTACCAACACTACCCCAACGGACTCTGCGACATCAGACAACGCACTTTATTGTTCTTGTCTGCAACTTCTGCATCTAGAAAAGATGTCATATGGAATGATCTCATAGACTCCCTCAGTTCTAAAGTCACTGATTCCAAGCCTGTATGAACTACAACAAATTTCATGTGCCTTGCTCTCAGAGTCATTCAAGTCACATATTAGATAATGCCTGCCACTACTATAAATGTAGCAATTTTTTTCAATTTCATTATATTTTAAAAGTCATTTTTTATGATTTCTGGATTTTCACTTTAAACTGAATATTGCTATTTACTTACCAGCTAAGTTCAAAGATTGCTAACAATAATCTAAATCACACATTACTTTATTTCTCATTTTACAAATCTACTTTTAATTCTTTGTTATTTTCTATTCTTCTGTTTTTTTCCACGTAGAGTTCATTTCAGAGCTAAGAGCCTAGGCTACCGGCTGGTTGTTCCCTGGAGCGTGCAGGGAACCGCACTATGCTCAAGTTAACAGATAGGTTTAATTTTCTAACTGGAATTAGATCTAGCGAATAGCCAGTGGAGATGCAAACCTTAACATAAGCATACTATTAGAATGCAAACGACAAGAAATGAGCAAAGGAATTGTTTTTTAGGAGGATATTTAGGAGTCTGGGGGGAAATAAATATATCAACCTGAGCGTCTCCTTGACTGTAAGGAAATAATTAATAAGATACCAAATTGAAGATTAAATGCTGTCAAGTCGATTCTGACCCCTAGCACCCGGTGTACAGCACAGCAGAACCCTGCCCGGTCTTTTTGTACCATCCTCTTATCATCTGGTGCCATATCAGACAGTGCTCTGCTGCTGTTCACAGGGTTTTTATGGCCAACTTTTTCGGAAGTGGGTGGCCAGGTTCTTCTTCCTAGTCTGTCTTAGGCTGGAAGCTCTGCTGAAAGCTGTCCACCATGGTTGACCCTGCCGGTATTTGATATCCCGGTGGCATAGCTCTCAGCATCACAGCAACACACAGCCGCCACAGTGTGACAATCGACAGACGGGTGGTGTGGTTCCCTGACCAGAAACGAACCCCAACCATGGCAGTGAGAGCGCGAAATCCTAACCACTAGACCACCAGGGCTGGCTAAGCTGAAGACGACACATACTCATCTGGCTTACATACCTGGATCACAGAGAAGAAAATGGACAAATCAAAGAGGGGTTGTTGAAGATTTAGGCAGCTTTTACTCTTCCAAGATTTGAAAGCAATTTTGGTTTGGGAGAAGCAGTAATTAGGCTGCAGTGTCTGGTACCTTTTCAAAAATAGCACAAGGTTATGCTGATTTGGAAAATAAAAGCTTGGAAATGCAGCTGGCCGTAGGAAAGCTACATCATCTGCTCCGGCCCCTCCAACTGCCTTTGACTTACCATTTGTCTTATTTCAAGGCACACTTCACCACACTGTGAGCTGAGATGTGGAAAGAGGTGTCTCAGTTCGCTTTACAATCAGCTGCCATTATGTAAGGTTGTGGACACCTCACTAAAAGCAAAATTGTCAAGCCAGACAAGCAACTTATTTTTGACAAACTTTGTTCAACAAGTAATTGGCTACTCTTAAGGGTAAAATATCTCGAAGCAGAAATTTTAGAAGTTGAACTTTCATTAAATGCATGTACTGCTATTGGAGAAATATCATAAAACATCTTTTTAATGTGAACACTACTTCATACAATGAAAAACTATTTACAATGTGTTGCTTCCAGACTGGCTCTTTTACATCGTGCATATACCCAGCGTGTGTCTTCAGCCAGGCGCCTCAGTCCAATTGCACGTCCTCCTTGTACGCGATGGCTCTCCAGGGTCCCTGGGGATTCAGGGAGTCTGTCCACTTACATTCTCCTTAGTAATTATGGCTCAGCAGGCATGCCACCAAAATCATCTATCACCCAGAGGCTCTGGCAATCACACATTAAGTAAAACGCGTAGATTAGGTTTTTCTCCAATAAATACTAATTTGACAATACAATCCATTTCCATCTTAAGAAATAGTTTTCAGTCAGGAAAACGTTTGTTTCTCACTGGAACTAGAGTGAACAGTCTGTTGTTCACGCTGGAACTGAGTTATGATGTCTTTGTATACAAATATAGCATATTTTGGCCAGGAATATAATTTCTTGTTAAAGAGTTTATTTGCCTTCACACGCAGGATTGCTACATACATTCACAGTTTTAATAGGCTGTAATTAGCTATTCCAGTTGTGCTTTAAAATCCCAAATATTATTTTCATTAGTGAGTGCAAAGCAAATGTCCCATTTGACTACAATTGGTCCTAGAGTTATAAACTCCATAATGATTTCTAGAAAGTTCCCTCATTCTCCAGTTTCGTCGTTTGCTTTTTCAGGGATGACTTCCAGGCTCCGGCGCGGCTTCTGACCGTCAGCATTTTCTGTGCCTGGTTTATTCAGCCCGCACGAAACAGCAGCATAATGGATTTGTTTCAAGTTCTCCAAAGTCTCATTCTTAGCGTATTTCAGAAGATCCGCTTGTCCCTGTAACAAAACAGGCAATCAAACAGCGTTAGATGTGACATGACATTGTTACAGTTTGACAATATAGGTCTTCCACTGAAACTGAAATATTTTGATTCTGCAAGAGGGCATATTTATTTCTTATTGGCACTGCATCTGAAATAGGTCAATTTTAATAAAAAACGAGTTTGTTTTCTCAGTTTTCAACACCATACTGCAAGTGTGTGCTGTCTTTTCAGTTCTTTCCATTCACAAATCTGAACAGAGTTCTGTGCATATGGACCATTCCCGTCTATCCTCGTTAAAATTACATCTTTGGCTAATTGTTTGGCCAATCTTGTTCTTTTTTTTACTTTTAAGATTTGCTTTTTTTTTAACTTTTTATTCTGAAATAAGTATAAATTCACAGAAGGATGCAAACATAGTGCAGAGAGGTCTTGTGTGTCCTTTCCCAAATGTCCCCCAATGGTTATATCTTAAATATCTCTAGTACAATATCCAGACCAGGTAACCGACAGTGGTACCATGTGTGTATAGTTCTGTGTCACTTCACCCCATGTGCAGGTTCCTGTAACCACCACTGCAATCCTCACATGGGGCTAGTCTACCACCACTAAGATCTCCCTGGTACCATGACTCCACAGGCAGACCCATGCCCTAGCCCTCCACCATCCCGAGCCCTTCACAACCCTAATCTGTTCTCCATCTCTAACAATCTGCTTTTGAAGCAAGCTCTGGCATCACAGACACACAGCAGGTCCTCACTGAGTACTTGCTAAAAGAAGGAATAAAGGAAAAGATTCTCTACTCTGGATGAACTTTCTTAGCCAAATTTTAATTTCTTTTATGGGGTGTGACTGTCAACTTGACATATATGCAGCCTAACACGTATAAAGGTCAGAGAACAGAGGGATGGATTGAAGCGCAGTCACTGGGAGTCTGGAATTGGAGCTGATGATGGGCCAAGGCAGAGTTTGTCAACCTTATCATTCTTGACACTTTGGCAGAGAATTCTTTTGGTGGGGGGCCGGGGAGGGGGCTGTCTTGTGCATCTTAGAGTATATAGCAGCATCTCTGGCCGTTACCCACTAGATACCAGTAGCACCCCCAGTTGTGACAACCACAATGTCTGCAGACATTGCCAAATGTCCCCTGGGGGATGAAATTGCCCTTGCTTGAGAACCACTGGGCTAATGTATCAGTCAAGGATTTCAAGACTATTGGGTAGATGAGGTAACGCGGCGCTCCATTGTTGCAAATTCCAACATTCCTACTTCGCTTTTTTGTTCTATTTTTCTTTCCGATATTAATCTGCCTTCTACTGATGGGTCTTTCTACTCACACTTCTACCGTCTACTTCTACCTTTCCTTCTTTCTTATTCTCCTTGCTTATTATTTTTTATCCTTTCCTCAGGCTCTCAATTTATTCCATTATTCTCTTTATGATTTGGCTTTTTCCTTGCCATACTTACATTCTTGTTTTTTTTTTTTTTTTTTTTTTAACTGCCTCCCCACGTGCGTCCCCTTTAAAGTACTCTTGCACAACAAAAGCTTGGGGCCAGCTGCAGAGGGTAACAGGGAAGGACTTAGCTTGGCAGGCAACCGGACTATAATCAAAGCTCAGTTGCTGGTGAGACCAAATCGCAATGCAATTTTAAGCCACCAAGAGACCTGAATCCACAGAATGGTTTGCTGTTTACCACTCACCGTTCATGATTTTCCTGCTTTACAAAGACCTTTAATTACTAACTATAAATAGATGGTCCATTGCTTAGTTTAACTGAAGGAGCTTCATTTTTATTCATTCTTACTAGTCACTGAACTCATATATTGAAATGTTACAAGTTGTGAGCTTTTGTATATAAATACAGCATATTGTGCCAGGAATATAATTTCTTGTTAAAGAGTTTATTTGCCCTTGCACATAGAATTACTACATACATTCATGGTTAATAGATTGTAACTAGCTATTCCATTTGAGCTATTAAATTCCAAATAGTATTTTTTTAATTAATAAACTTTATTTTTTAGAACCATTTTAGGTTCACAGCAAAATTAAGCAAAGAATACAGACAGTTCCCATATATCCCCTGTCCCCACACATGCACTACCTCCTACCCTCCTGCCCCACGGTGGCACATTTGTTACAGTTGATGAACCTACATTGACACATCATTATCACCCAAAGCCCATAGTTTAAATTAGAGTTCACTCTTGGTGTTGTACATTCTACGGGTTTGGAAAAATGTATAGCGACACGTATCCACCATTATAGTACCACACAGAATAGTTACACTGCCCTAAAAATTCTCTGTGCTCCACCATGTCATCCCTTCCTTCCCTCTAATCCCTGACAACTACTGATCTTTTTACTGACTCCATAGTTTTGCTTTTTCAGAATGTCATATCACTGGAATTATACAGTATGTAGCCTTTTCAGATTGGCTTCTTTCACTTAGCATTTAAGGTTCCTCCATGTCTTTTACGGTTTGACAGCTCATTTCTTTTTAGCACTGAATAATATTCATTGTCTGGATGTACCACAGTTTATCCATTCACCTACTGAAGGACATCTTGGTTACTTCCAATTTGGCAGTTATGAATAAAGCTTCTATAAACATCCATGTGCAGGTTTTTGTGCGGACATATGTTTTTGATTCATTTGGTAGATTCATTTCAGTTCATTTGGTAGGAGCATGATTGGTATATCATATGGTTTAAGAGTATGTTTAGTTTTGTAAGAAACTGCTAAACTCTCTTCCACAGAGACTATCCTTTTGCACTCCCACCAGGAATGAATGAATGAATGAGAATACTCCACATTCTCACCAGCATTTCATGTTGTCAGTGTTCCAGATTTTGGCCATTCTAATAGGTGTGTACTGGTATCTCGTTGTTTTAATTTGCAATTCTCTAATGACATATGATATTGAACATCTTATCATATGCTTACCATCTGCATAGCTCCTTTGGTGAAATGTCTGCTCAGGTCTTTTGCCCATTTTTAATCAAGTTGTTCATTTTCTTATTGTTGAGTTTTAAGAGTCCTCTGTATATTTTAGATAACAGCCCATTATCAGATGCTCCTTTTACAAATATTTTCTCCCAGTCTGTGGCTTGCCTTGTTATTCTCTTGACTTGTCCTTTGCAGAGCACAAGTTCTTAATTTTATTGAAGTCCAACTTATGAATTCTTTCTTTCATGAATCATGCCTTTGGTGTTGTATCCATAAAGTCATTACCATACCCCAAGGTCATCTAGGTTTTCTCCTATGTTATCTTCTAGGAGTTTTATAGTTTTGCATTTTACATTTAGGTGTATGATCTCTTTTGAGTTAATTTTTATGAAGGGTGGAAGATCTGTGTCTACATTAATGTTTTTGCACGTAGATGTCCAGTTGTTCCAGCTCCATTTGTTGAAAAAACCTTCTTTGCTCCATTGTATTGCCTTTGCTCCTTTGTCAAAGATCAGTTGACCTGTGGATCTATTGGTGGGCTCTCTATTCTGTTCCATTGATCTATTTGTCTATTCCTTCACCAGTACCACACTGTTTTGATTACTGTAGCTTTACAGTAAATCTTGAAGACGGGTAGTGTCAGTCCTCTGACTTTGTTCTTCTCCTTCGATAGTGTTTTTGCATCTCCATATAAACTTTAGAATTGGTTTGTCAATATCTATAACTTGCTGGGATTTTGACTTGGATTTCATCAAATCTATATATCAAGTTGAAAGAAATGACATTTTGAAAATACTGAGTTTTCCTACCATGAACATGAAATATATCTCCATTTATTTAGTTCTTCTTTGGTATCTTTCATCCGAGTTTCATAGTTTTCCTCATATAGATCTTCTACATATTTCATTGGATTTATATCTAAGTATTTAATTTTTGGGGGTGCTAAAGTAAATGGTATTGTGTTTTTAATTTCAAATTCCACTTGTTCATTGCTGGTATATAGGAAAGTGATTGACTTTTATACATTAACCTTGTATCCTGCCACTTGGCTATAATTGCTTATTAGTTCTGGGAGTTGTTTGCTGATTCTTTTGGAATTTCTACATAGATGATCATGTCATCTGTGAACAAAGACAATTTTATTTCTTGCTTCCCAATCTGTATACCTTTTCTTTTCTTTTCTTTTCTTGTCTTATTGCATTAGCTAGGACTTCCAGAACAATTTGAAAAGCAGTGGTGGCAGGAGACATCCTTGCCTTTTTCCAGATCTTAGCAGGAAAGCTTTGAGTTTCTCACCACAAGTATGATGTTAGCTGTAGGTTTTTTGTAAATGTTCTTTATCAAGTTGAAGAAGTTCTTCTCTATTCCAAGTTTTCTCAGAGTTTTCATCATGAATAGTTGCTGGATTTTGTCAAGTGCTTTTTCTACATCTATTGAGATGACAGATAACAGAGTTCCTTATCTGGTTGAATCTTATGTTTCCCAAATTCAGACAATGAATGTATGGCATATTGAACATACCAGGCCTTCAGCCATCATCCAGGTGAGACACAAAGAACCCCTCTAGGTGATAAACCTGGGCTTGGGGAGCTGCAAACTTTGTCCACATCACTTTAATTTTGTTCTATGTACGACTGACATGTCCTGGAGTTCTGGCATTTAGTGTGAATAAAGAACAATTCTGAAAGAGGTGATGGTGTTTGTTGTAGCAGTGTTCACATCTCATTGCTTCAAAAGACTTCAAAAGAGCAAAGGCTATTTAAAATGCTGCCACCCACTGACACAGGGTGTCTGGTTTTGAAGACTCCCACGAAACTGGCTTTGCAATGTTTTCAGTTGAGAAACTCAAACTCTATTTGGTTTCACACATTCCGTTCTGAATTTCATAACTTACTCTATTTGGTTTTTATCTTGAAAGATTTATAACAACCTTAGGTCAAAATATTTTAGGTTCTTACTTAGACTCAGAAAATAATCTTTAAAAGATGTAGCTACGGGCAGGGCTGGATCCCAGCGGCTCTTGCTGAGAGTCTGGCAGGATGTGCTCCTCTGGCTCTGCCTGGAG